TGTCATCAGCGATGCGCCAGTCATTGACACGCGCTTCCGCTGGCTCGCTCGCTCGCTCCCTTGCTTTCAAGTTTGAGTCGAGATCTGAACCCCGCGAACAGCTTTTGTTGCGGAGGCAGCGCTCTCCAGCGGCCAGAGCCATGGCTCCCCCCCTTCCTCCCCCTCGCTCCTGGTGCCGCTCGTCCTCCCCTCGTCCTTCTCTCCCTCCAGCGAGCACCCCTGGCAGGACGGGCTTGAGGCCCTCAGACGCACAATCGTCAGTAGTCCTGCACGCACCTCCGCGCCAGGGCATCCCCGCCAGCGCTGCGTGCGCAGTGCGCGGGGCTGCCAGGCCTTGCGTTCCCGGTTGAATATAAAGTCGAGGCCGTGCCAGGCTCTGCGGTGCCCGCAAGTAGTAAGCTCATTGATCTGGTATGGACATCGATGCACATTGCTGCAGCAGCATCTCCTCCTCCACCTCCTCCTCCTCCCCCTCCTCCTCCTCCTCCCTCCTCCTCCTCCTCCTCCTCCTCCTCCTCCTCCTCCTCCTCCTCCTCCTCCTCCTCCTCCCTTGTCTTCCTCTCTCATCCCTCACCCCTCCTCCTCCCACCTCCTCCTCTCTCCTCCTCCTCCCCCCCTATATGTTGCTCCGTATCCTCTGCGCGTCGTGGCTGTCAGGGACCGCCTGGGAATCTCCTCCTCCTCCTCCAGCCCGCGGGCTTCAGGCGGCGCTGGGGCCTGTGCTCGTCCAGGCGGCGGGACGGCGCGCCAGGAGACCCCGCCGCCGACTCCGCGGACCCGTCCCACGCCGGCCACAATTGGGAGCCTCAGTAGACGCAATGCCGCTAGGTCACCTCAGGAGCAATGTTAGGGGGGGATGGGCTCGGGGGTGGATGCATCGATCCTCAGCTGCCCATTGCCTGGCAGCCCACCCTACCGAGGAACGTGCTGTTTAGCTGTCGAGTGCGTATAGCCGATGTTTCGGCGATGTATCGCCGATTCCAGGTCGATGTCCCCCCCTTCTCCCGAGCCAGTCTCCTCTATCGTTGCCCCTGGCCGATGTCATCTCGGTGCGTCCTGGAGGGAAGCAGCGCGATGACCATTATCCAGGTGTCGCGGGCGGGATCTCGTCGGCGCCGAGCCTTGTCCCGGTCCGTGCCGGCCGTGGCCGACTCGCGAGGATTTGCGAGTTGACGATGGCCAAGATTCAGGTGTTGCTAGAGGTGCCCCTGGCCCAAGGTGCCCCCAGGATTTTCAAGGAGGCCACTACGGCCTCCAGAGCACCCCTCACGAGGTCCAGAGGGCCCCAGGCGCTCCAAAATTGAGCGAAAAGCTGGGGGCACCTTGAGCCAGGGGCACCTTTAGCAACCCACGAAAGATGGGCGATTGCCAAGATCGACACCGGCGTTTCTGCGCTCAGGCTTGGTCATGGCCGCCGTGCTCCCTCCACGTCCGTCGCCGGCCGCCCACGGTGCGCCCGACCTCCCGCGCCGCGCGCGCAGGCCCCGGCATCCCCTGCGACGGCATGTCCTCTTCAGCCCGCGGGTCCCAGAGGTCTCCGCCTCTGCCCCATGGCCCGTCTCTCTCCCCCCCCCCAAGGCTCGCTCTGCTGGCCCCGAGGCCCGAAGGTGCCCCCCGGAGGTGTGATCGTGGAGGCACGTGGAGGTACTCGAGAGGTATCGGAGGACGCAAAATCATTGAAAGCATCAAATGAGACCTCACAGCCCCCCTCTCTAGTTCAGCGCGGAAAAATATCAGATGTGGAGCATCGCTTCGGCGCAGAAGCACTAGCCGCCCGAATTCAGCAGCAAGGCGCGCATCAACGCCCGGGGCCCAGAGGTAGACCTGGGAGGTGTTCGGTGATGGACCCCTTGTTCGACGCAGCCATCCGGCTTCTGCGCCGCAGCAGGCGAGAGAGAGCGCCAGCAATCGCCGGAAACAGCCGCAGACCCCCGAAGACCGCCCAAGGCCGATGGGCATCAAGGGGTTCATACAGTCGGGCCGCTGAAGAAGGAACCCTTTTCGTTGGGGAGGGGCTCAGTGCTCCTCACTTGTTTTACAGCTCGCGTTCGGTAATCCTCAGGCTTCATATGGGCTATCGGAGCTCCTTCTTCCTGAAACACGGGGCCTCGTTCCTTATTTGGGGCTCCTGATGACACCGGTTCGACTGTTCTGACGAAGAGCGCCGGGAGTGAGGTGTACAGTGGGGGCGCGCAACGAGAAACCACTTGCTCTTCGTTAGGGTATTCCGAGTTTCTTCGCTCCTCGCGCTGCGCGGTGGCTTCCTGCGGCCGTTGACGGAGCTGCTGCGTTCAGGGTGCTCCGGGTTTCCCCTCAGGTGCACCTCGCGCACGGGTTCTCAGGGTTGGATCTCTTGCGAGGGTTTCTTGCGGCCGCGCCCGCACTGTAATCCTTCGCCCGAGGACCTCGGGCGCGGGGGTGCAGGGGCGCGCCGCCGCGGGCTCCAGTGGAGCGGGGGGCGGGCGCAGTGCCCGCGGCCGCGAGAGGCCGGGAGGCGCAA